AAAGGGATATAAGTTATATGATGTCCTATCCAAGACCTTTTTCATTTCCAAAGACGTGGTCTTTCATGAACAAACATTCCCTTTTGAATAGGTTCCTCATCACCTTGATGTTATCGATCCCTTTCCTGATCTTGTGCTGCCTATCTCTATCACTGAAGATCACCCCTCTATACCTACATCCAATCTACATTCCATCCCTCCTGATACTACCCATTTGCAGTCTGATTCGTCTTCTATCATTGATCATTCAGACATAGAAGATATCCCCAGAAAATCATCAAAACTCAGCAAACCTTCTTCCTACCTTATAGATTTCCATTGTAATCTTTTGACCAATAACCAACAGTCTCAAGATTACTTACCATATTTATTGTCCAAATATATCTCCTATAAATCCTTTTCAAATTCTCATCATCACTATTTGTTAAATGTTTCATCCAACTTTGAACCAGAATATTACCATCAAGCCATCAAATATGATCATTGGAAGGATGCTATGGCAACTAAATTAGATGCCATGGAAACGACTAATACCTGGTCTGTTACAACCCTACCCAAGGGTTCCATATAGGTATACAAGATAAAAATGGCTTAGATGGCAGCATTGGCTAAGGCGTACACATAGCAAGAAGGACTGGATTTCACTAAAATATTTTCACCAGTTGCCAAATTGGGTACGATTAAGACCATTCTAGCAATAGCTGCTATTGATGATTGGCATATAATGCATCTTGATGTCAACAATGTGTTTCTGAATGGGGATTTGTTCGAAGAGATATACATGGATTTGCCCTCAAGTTATAGAGAATATGCTGGTTCCAGAATTCAGGGGGAGAATCTGGTTTGCAGACTCCACAAATCTATTTACGGCCTCAAGCAAGCATTGAGACAATGGTTCTCAAAATTTTCCAATGTCCCCATTAGTCATGATTTTAAGCAATCCAAATCGAATTACTCATTATTTACCAAAGGGATTGGCAACACCTTTATTGCTCTTTTGATTTATGTTGATGACATCCTTATCACTAGATATGATCAACTTGAAATTGGTTCTCTAAAGGGATTCATGCACAACCAGTTCAAGTTGAAGGATCTTGGCAAGTTGAAGTACTTCCTTGGACTAGAAATAGCAAAGTCAAAGAAGGGGATCTTCATGTCACAACGGCAATATACTTTGCAATTACTTGAAGACACTGGATTTCTGGCATGTAAACCAGCTACACTGCCTATGGATCCTAAACTAAAGCTCAGTTCTTTTGAAGAAGAACTTATTACTGATGTGTCCATGTACAGAAGGTTGATTGGTCGACTTCTTTATCTCACTATATCCAGGCCTGATATCACATTTGCCGTCCACAAGCTAAGTCAATTTGTGTCGCAACCCAGGCAGCCACATCTGGATGCAGTTTATCACCTCCTCCAGTATCTCAAGTCATGTCTGGGGCAAGGAATTCCGTTCTTTTCAAATTTTTCCTTTCAGTTAAGAGCCTTTGCGGATGTTGACTGAGGAGCATGTCTTGATACAAGAAAATCAATTAGTAGTTTTTGTGTCTTTCTTGGAGATTCTCTCATTTCCTGGAAGGCCAAGAAGTAGACCACGATATCCAGATCGTCAGCTGAGGCTGAATATCGGGCACTAGCCTCCACCACCAGTGAATTAATATGGCTCACTTAACTACTTCATGATTTTCAGGTTTCCAATAAAAGGCCTGTATTGATTTTTTGCGATAACCAAGAGGCAATTCATATTGCCACAAATCCTATATTTCACGAGCATACCAAACATTTCGAGATTGACTGCCATTTCATTCGAGATAAGGTAACCGATGGCTCTGTCAAGCTATTACCAATTTGCTCCTGTCATTAGCTAGCCGACATCTTTACAAAGGCCTTATCAGCTCCTATGTTGTTTCCATTGTTATCAAAGATGAGTGTTATTAATCCTCATTTTCCATCTTGAGGGGAAGTAACAGAAAGAAGAATGCTTCCAGCTAGCTCGCCAGCTCAATCAACAGAACAAGTGTGAAGCTGAAGTTAGTTGTTGGTTAGGAAGTTAGATCCATGTGTCAATTTTGTATTAGTTTGTATAGTTGAATTTGTTAGATTCCATTTGTATTTATAGATCACGAACTTGCATTGTATAATTAATTTTTCTGAGAAAATACAATCAGATTAATTCCATTTCTTCTTCCTTCAATTTGTCAATACCAGGTATCACTTTTAGGCGTTCAAGGAAGGATTGGTAGCTCTAGATGTTGTTGCATTCGAGTAATGATTCCATGATTCAGGGCAAATGTAAGTTTGTGTGTATTTCTGATCTCAAATTATTATTATTATTATTTTTTTTTTGCATTTGCAATCAGTGGCGGATCCAGGATCTTGAGTGAGCTCGGGCGGTCATTGACAGTTGGCAGCCGCAATAATAATCAATATCGTGAATTAAAATTAATTATATCGTAGTTCAAATTGCAAATATGAATATGCATTATCTACCCATCTAATAATATTTAACGTGTAAAAAATTCAAGTTTGAAAAATGGATCCAATTACTTACTTTCAAGGTTCAATTTGTTAATAATATAATTCTAACAGATTACAAATAAAAGATTACACCCAATTCAGCCATTGGTGTTCTGAACATAAAAATAAGAAGATGTAGAGTTAGAGACTATTGTTGCAATCGAAGAAAAATAAATTACTATATCATTGTCACCCAAAATAAGGTTAAAAACACATTATTTATCACCATTTCAGTGGACATGTATTGTGCTTCATACAATCATATATCAAAGTACTCTTCGCTTGCCTTTGATCTTGAATAACTGTTGGGAAATATGTAGGAAAATCTGAAAAAACTAATGAACTACAAGGCACAAAAATCGTTATCTTTTAAGAGATGTTATCCCCTATCCAACAAAGTCACGACGAGGGTATGATAGAAAATCTCTCTCAGGATACAAT